AGCTCTGTCACACATTCTTAACTCATTTCTGCAAGCTTCAAAAGTTCCCCAGGAGTATTATGATGCTTATGGATCCGATGTCTGCCAGTGTGTTCTGGTGTGCCTTTATGACTCGCCTGCGCGATGACCATTTTACGACCACCACGGAACACACTGACGCAGATAGGCAAGTGGAGTGCACCGACCGCAGTTTTCTGCAGCATTTGAGGCTATATGATTATAAAGAGCAATCGCTCGGCTTGGGATTCTTTATTGTGCTGAGTAGGCTCATAACACATTATTTAACTCGTCAAATCGCTGCGCTCTCGCATCCCTAGTCTGCACTGAGGAGTCGCACCCCGATCTTGGCCTGACACTGTGGTCCGGAGTGAGCAACCACTCGTAGCATTGGCGGAGTTGCAGATGACAGCTGGCTAGGGCGCGTGAATCGATCGGCAAAGATCTTGGAGAGACGAGCAGCGAATGGTGGTCCGCGGCAGTCTGTTGTGTGTTTCGAGCCTAGAGACTTTGGCCAAAAGAATCAGTAGGTTTTCCGAGGTGCCCCAGCAGATTACTAGAGACAAATGCATGCCGCGCGTGCCTGGGACCATTTTGCCATGATCTATTCACAATTATCTTTTCTTTGTATATCGATTGCTTTAAATATAGGGGGCTCCATAGAAAAATGAATATTGACTTCCTAGAGAACTAATGATTCTAAAGGTCCCTGAAGTTCCATGAATCTTTCCGCTCAGGACATCGACACGTATGGAGGTGGACGGTCTACAGGGAACCGCCGAAGTGTTAAATCACAGTTGCCGATCTCGGTTCATATCAGAACCCAACATGGCGTGGGCAAAAGCAAAAATTCTTCAAGAAGTACTCTGTAAGTTTCTATACTTGGTTTTGCGTCTGGACCAAACTGCCTCTGCACAGAGACTTTCGAAGATCATAAGAGCTGGTGGCCCGACGTTTCGATGGCAATGCTTCCCGCTGATTCACTGGGTGTAAATGCAGTGGGATAACCTGTTTTATCCACACATGGCAAGCTTGTGAACAGATTACTGTGCCTCTTCTTCAGTAAACATACCCATGTATTTCTTTATAAAGCGTTAAAAAGTCTCGTCGTAATATGTCAGGCGTACTACAATTACCTGCACCAATGCGCAGTATTTAGAGCAGCAGAAAGAGAAAGTAGAGAGAACAGTCAGGAGAAACCACCTACAGTCATTGCTACTGAATAAATGTCAGGTATACCTTTGAAACCATTTCGGCAGTCCACTCTAAGGCTTGTTTTGCATACTAGCTTCCAGCACCGTGTCATAGTGGGAGAAGCCTCAAACCCATCCCCGAACTTTTGGAAGACGCTTCGGCAAAGATCAGTTTGAGTACAGCCGTCTGTTCCCACAGTCCCCGTCCCTTGTGATTGTCGGTTCCGTCGGTACAGTCTTCCTAGGAGGAGGGTTTCTTTTACGGTTTTAGCACAGCGTAAAATTCGCAAATTGCCTTAAAGTCATGAAATCGTTTTCCGCACTGGTCCTGTCAAGGCGTGCAGGTTTCTCTGCGGTGCCTTCATCTGATGAATGTACAACCACGAGCTGTCTGCTCGTGCCACTGCGTGTCCGTGCCATCAATCACACGGTTGTGGCACACGGGCGCGAAGGGCTGAGAACGAGGCATTTATTGTTGCAATAATGGAGCATTCCACTGTGTGAAGATATTACATAATAAGACAGCATACATTTCATGCATTCAACTAGATGTAAATCTTTCTTTGCCTTCTGGGGACAAGGTGGGTATTCGCACCTATAGACACTTCCGTGCCGCAGTGCGTACACTCCGGCATACATGAGATTTCTTTACGACACAGCGTTTGAAGCTCTCCACGTGGAGCTCCAACTGCTGGAGGCAAGCACATACAACGGTCCTAAATGTCGGAGGCGGCGAGCCGCGTGGTTGGGTAGATCCAGCGTTTTCTTATTGAGGCCACTTGCGTGTTTGTCGAATAGAGCATACCATTTATCTTCCCCTGTCAATAAAAGTTCCCATGTCTTGTAGAGTTACATGCCTGGAATAAACAAACGGGTCTGAATTCCCGCATTCTCCACCTCGCTGCATCCTGACTTAGTGTGGATAAAGCATCAGGCCTTGCTGGCCTTGTGAGGGCCTACTTTTTCTTCAATTTCCGCAGCTGCAAGACATTTTCATGAAGAAATTTGATGAGGCTTGAAGGCAGTGCTTGAGGGAGGGACACCGTGGGAAGAGGAGTTTTACGCACATGAGACAAAAATTTAAGATTCTCTGCATCAACGAACATCGCTTGCACGCTTGTTTTATCCTCTTTGAGGACGGAGTAATGTATGTCAGAGATAGACTTAAGGTTCGCTGAGTCAGAGCCATACTGTTGAACTCTTTGGATGGCGGTTGAAGCCGCCTCGGAAAACATTCGGAGACATGACTGTGTCAACTCGACCCTGTCAGTATCCTGAAGGCGTGTCAGGAGGAACTCGGCGTGCCGGATCCAAGACTCTGCCTTTACAATCTTAAGTAGAGCAGCGACCTCATGTTGGGGGAACGACTCCGTCCATTGGCGACGATTGGAAAAGAGCAAAACCCTATCTCTCAACGCCTCAAGTGTATTCTTTGCATTATCCAATTTTGCTTTCAGTTCCTCCTTGTCCTTCGAAGTCTCTTCCCACCTCTCGTCTACCCACGATTTCACTTCTTCAGATTCCGCCCCTTCGGCTATGCATTTCACCAGTTGTCCTAATGGCTTAGACTGCAACTGCTCTACCATCATGCGCCATTCAATATCTTTCAAAGCCAGGGTTTTAGCCCTCAGAAAGCGCTCAGTCGTGTTACATGCCTGAGTAAAGGCTGTAGTGTAATCGTCCACCGCGGGAGTGCAACGCTCTAACCAGAATCTTAGCTTTCGCGATTTTCTCGCACCTTTCTGCTGTTTGCTGAACAATTCCTCACCAAAACTGTGGTTCTTGAAAAAAACGAAATTTGCCAGACGTTTATGATTATCAATAGTGTCCTGGATATGGGACTTTGTCGCTAAGGCAAAGGCGCGGAGATGCGCCATACGCATAGGTATTTTCCTCTGCAGCGCCTGTACCTCTTTCTTGCTTGCAGTTTGCTCTTCCATTGCTGCCAATAGCTTGACCTCCCTGAACTGTAGTGGGGTCTGTTGACCTCCATTCCTATAGAGATCCACATAAATATAATCTTCACTCTCTTCCATTGCAGCGTAACACTCTTCAAAATAATCTTCTAGTAGTTCTTCTGCATCTGTACTGCTCAAAGCAATTTCTTGCTTTTTCTCATTTGATGGAAAGGCATGTGCCTTCATAAGGCTCAGGAAATTTCGCGCCACGACCAGTTCGGGAGGCGTCAGGTATAACCGTTCCATCCCCGCGAACATACTCGCTAGTTCCTCTTGCGCACTTTCCACGTTCCTCCGGGCCTCGAGGAGCCGCAACTCCTCGGGGAACAGAATTTCAACACTCCTGGACGATTCCTCATTCAGTTTTTCGGGATTCAGACTTTCAGCACTCTTTAGTGACTCCTCCATCAGCTTCTCTGCACTTCTCATCTCCTTTTGCCACCGGTCAAGCAGCTCGTACGCCTCTTCCAGAGCCTGTCTACTCAACGCATAACCTTCAGACCGTTTTTCCAACTCTGCCTTTCTCTGCTTGAGCTGTGCAAACTGCTCTGTGAATTCCTGATCGCTTACAGGTGTATGGAACTCGAGGTCCTTCAGTACATTCTTGCGCAGCTCTGCCTCTTCCCGCTGAGCCTGTAGTGTCTCCAACTTATTGCGCAAGACCCCAAACTCCCTTTCGTGCTCTCTGCTTGGGGACATGACCTCCACAAGATCCGCCGAGTTCATCTGTACCTCGGTGATCTTTTGGCTAGAGGGTAGTTCCTCCTGCAACTCAGAGAGCGTCACCTTGAGACTCTGTTTCTGCTTGAGATGTGCCAACTGCTCGGTGAAATCATCGCTTACAGCTTCAGGGAATTCCTGTAGAACATCCTTGCGCAGCTCCGCCTCTTCCCGCTGAGCCTCGAGTGCCTCCAACTTATTGCGCAAGACCCCAAACTCCCTTTCGTGCTCTCCGCTTGGGGCTACGACCTCCGCAGGATCCGCCGAGTGCATCTGTACCTCGGTGATCTTTTTGCTAGAGGGTAGTTCCTCCTGCAACTCAGAGAGCGTCACCTTGAGACTCTGTTTCTGCTTGAGATGTGCCAACTGCTCGGTGAAATCATCGCTTACAGCTTCAGGGAATTCCTGTAGAACATCCTCGCGCAGCTCCGCCTCTTCCAGCTGAGCCTCGAGTGTCTCCAACTTATTGCGCAAGACCCCAAACTCCCATTTGTGCTCTCTACTTGGGGCTACGACCTCCACAGGATCCGCCGACTGCATCTGTACCGCGATGATCTTTTTGCTAGAGCGCAATTCCCCCTGCAACTGGGAGAGCAAAGTTTGGAGCGTGTCAGCGTCCTGTAGGCCCCCGCTTCCCCCCAGAAGTGCCTTGACCTCAGCTTCCCGTTGTTCCCACAGACACTGTTCGCTAGCTACCCGTCCAATTAGCTCCACTGCCTTTTCCTTCGTAAGATTTTGTGTTTCCAGAAGGGCCTCGTATTCAGCCAACGCATTGGCTCTCCACTCCATTGCCTGCTTCAGCCGCTCCTTTGCTTCATTTTCGTTTCGAGCGTAATATTCCGCCAACTTTCCTGGTGCTTGAGCAGTGCTTAGGTGCTTCGCCAACATCAGAGGCACAATCAGCATATAAACCAGAAGAAGACATAGGCGCATTGATATGAAGGGGCCTCGACCCCGGGCACGCTTTGTATTGCTGCTTACTCCGTTTTTCCTTCTGCCTTTCGATACTTCTGTTGGCTCTAGATCGAGGCCTACGGCTCCAGTGGTAATTACTGCTTCTTCGAGGGGAATAACTCCCTCTCTCTGCGAAGAGGTGCCAACTGCAGACGGATCTTCAGAAAGATCCCCGTGATCGAACTCTGACAAAGATCCCAATGAAGAGGGTTTCTCTACCGATACAGTTTGCCCCAGTGTGAGGTCCTCATAGTCGCACTGCGAGGGTGACATTACAGAAGCACAAACCAGCAGCAATAAGAGCTGCTTCGGCTGAAAAGAGATCCCCCTCGCTTCCCTGCGAGCTTCCATCAGCGCTGTATTCCTATGACGCCCGCTGAGACGCCGCATTGCAGCAGCAGACCAGCTTTCTGAGAATTCGACCAAGTGAGGAATCACGCGGCTGCTGTTGCAACTGGTTTCGAGTAAACGTCAACAGCACACTGCGTGCGGTAATACTACATTACACAGACAATATTCCAAAAGCGCACGTCCGTCTCCGAATTTCCCATACCCATCACTTGACCCACAATGCTACTGCAACCGGTAGTGGGACGGGGGTGAATATATAGTCAGTAAAATCCAGTGTGACTTACAGGATGGGAAAGGTGGGAAGAGCACAGCAAAGAGTAGCTCTGCCGAACTGTCTGTGCTACTTTAACAGCTCCCTGGAGCAGACAGGTCTGTAGGAGGGACAATTCTGTTGGACGATTTCCACCTATGTAGCACCACTAGCAGCAGTGCTTTTCGCTCATCAACTGGAGAAATCTTGAGAGCATTTATTTACCCCCCGTTGGATCAGCATCGCAAAACCGAATATGCCGTATAAAACATTACCTGTCAGAATGCTTGCAGCCGGACATCATAGCGTTGAAATTTCCTTCTGACACTGTTAAATATTGCTGGAATGAGGGAGTTGTTCCCCGGATTTGGTGTCGTCTCCCACGCAGAGACACACAGCTTCATGGGTCGATTCCTACCTGTACGCTGCTACATTGTGAAGCCAGAAGGCTTATGACTGGCATTTGAATGAATAATTCCCTCTCATACAGGTAGCAGACAAAAAACGGCCAGTCGCGCTCGAAGATACCCTTTGAAATACAACTAGTGCAGGTCCCCATCATTGGGTGGCGAGTGCCCCACCCCGGGGCCCTTCCTGCTAGTTTGCATCCCCATTTACATTGGCTTCAAAGATGCAATCAATAAAATTCTAGCTTCTTCAACTTCTGGGCTTGTTTAACGGAGCATTATTTGCTCTTTTGACGGCGGACGTGTGAGTGGAGCAGGAAGCGCTCGTGAAGAAATGAACTGCAGCTTCCTGAAATTTCAAAGCTTGCATTGGAGGCCTCATTGGCAAGCTGCAAAGCTCGTCTAGGATAGATGACCTCTGTTCGGACCCCAAATTCCCACATTGCGGCGGTTTATCGCTCCACATGCACACAACAGTGGTCTGGATGAATCGAGCCAACATGGGTCTGCACTGAAATAGGTACACCAACAGACGAACCAATTAGTCATTTCCTGACTATTTCCTTATTAAATATAACCAGTGTACGAGAAGATACCGAAGGGTAGCTTTGCCCGTTAAATCTTGCCCTTTCATTGTGAAATATATGCCTGCATGCTCCGTACCTGTACATCGAGTACAACAGCAAGCAGGACAGCAAACGACTTTTAGCACTATCGCAGCTTCTCACACAGAAATAATCACGAAATACTCTACAAGCAATTAGAGCAAATGTGTGCACCGACAGGTATGGATAAGTCAAACGTAAGAAAGACATTCACCCTAACGAGCAACGAGAGGCACTCTGTCAACACGATGCAATGGTTCGATGGGTCGCTGATGTAAAAGCACCGAAAGTGTGAGCCTCTTGTTAAACAGAGCCGGAAGACAAATGAAGTGTCTAGAGGATTAGAAATACACACTACCTCAGGAGAGCCTCCGCGCCCCTAAGAGCACCGCGTCTGCACCTCACTACCACCGGGGCATCTAGCATAGTCAGCTTCGAAGCCGCAAAAAAAAGGAAGAATGTCGGGATAGTACGCCTGAATGTGGCTGCGTATAGACCTTAGTGGAGTGGTTACACTGACAACTGAAACTGGCGAGTTTTATGGAATACTTTTAGGCAAAGTTGATATCTCATGTAGAGCGTGCACCGGGGAAGGATAAAAAAATGAGGAACACCATGTAAGACGACTAGCCCTGTTGACCGGACAGAGCCGCAAACTTTGCCGCAGGCGCCAAAGCGCACCAGTGTTCTCCGTCAACCAGTGCGGTAAGCATTCCTTACCCCATTAGCCTAGAAAACCTTGTCGACTGGGTCCTTGGCGACCAATGGTCCTAGCATTTGGCAATTCTTCTGTGGCTCCTTGTGGATAATCCACTTCCCCACCGTTCACACGCGGCAGAGCCCACGAGCACATAAGGAAGCTTTGAATTATCTTTAGGAAATCTCAAGCCAATCTTGATTTTGTGTGGCACCTACTTTTAAAGCAGTCGATATACTAAGAAAGAAAATTGATTAAGTAGATCATGACAAGTGGTCCCAGCCACCGGCGGCATGCGTTTCCGCCTGATCCTCTGGTGTACTCCCAAAGGCCTACTGATTCATTTGGCCAAAGTCTCCAGGCTCGAAACACACAACAGACTGCCGCGGACCACCATTCGCTGCTCGTCTCTCCAAAATCTTTGCAGATCGATCACGCGCACTAGCCAGCTGTCATCTGCAACTCCGCCAATGCTACGAGTGGTTGCTCACTCCGGACCACAGTGTCAGGCCAAGATCGGGGTGCGACTCCTCAGTGCAGACTAGGGATGCGAGAGTGCAGCGATTTGACGAGTTAAATCATGTGTTATGAGCCTACTCAGCATAATAAAGAATCCCAAGCCAACTAATTGCTCTTTATAATCATATAGCCTCAAATGCTGCAGAAAACTGCGGTCGGTGCACTCCACTTGCCTATTTGCGTCAGTGTGTTCCGTGGTGGTCGTAAAATGTTCATCGCGCAGGCGAGTCATAAAGGCACACCAGAACACACTGGCAGACATCGGATCCATAAGCATCATAATACTCCTGGGGAACTTTTGAAGCTTGCAGAAATGAGTTAAGAATGTGTGACAGAGCT